ATGGGCAGGATCAGGCTGCTTCACAACAGGCGGTCTCCTAAGCTCCACCAACTTCCTCTTTTTTTCCTGCTCAGCGCCACAAAGAAAAACTTTACACAAAGATTATTTAGTTACAAGCTGTGTGTGTGTTGGTAAAAAAAAGGGAGAAAAATATCAACAGCAAACGAGTTCAGCTTGGGGGCATGACCAACAATCTATTAAATACCATACTGTCATTAGCCAGATTAAATAGTGCCTGCGATCTTGGTTCGTTTTCTAGTTTTCTAGAGAATAAATAATTAGGTAAATAGCTAAAGCTTTTAAATATACATAAAATAGAAGGTTATACATAAGAACGTTAATAAATACATAAATAAAGGAAATGTAAATTGGGTTTTTTTGAGTACTTTCTACTTCTTATTCCTGATTTAAAAATGTGCACAAGCCGTCATTCATTTCCGTTTATTCAGCCACGTCATTTCCCCGGTCGCTTTTGGTATATTGGTGTCAAAGTGCAAGCTGAATTGTTCATTGCCCCCGTTTGCCCCCTTAAGAACCCCCACTCCCATTTGACAGCTCAAACCAGACTCCGACACTGAAGACATTCCACAATTTGTATGACATTCGCAATGACACACTTGGCAGAAGCTGGCAAAAAAAAGGGGGAGTCCTTCGATGAGATGCGAGTCAATTGCACATGGGTTTCCATTCAAAGCGATTGTGCTGACGCTTTCTTCAATGGCCTGAAATGAATGCCGGGATCAAAACGCCCTCTGAACACCACTACGAAACCCCTTCGGAAAAACTGGAAGCTCAAATGCCTGAAACAAAAGGCCAAATGCGCTCACTTTCAGCTGCCCTGTGATGCGGGATCTGCTTATGGCCGCTAACCCGGTCCGATTCCGATTCCGAATACGAGTCTGAATCCGAGTACGAAGTCCAAGTCCGATGTCATTGTTAAAGCCAACTGCCGGACAAGTGAGTTGTATTGGTAATGACATCGAGGGGGACACTTGCCTTGTTTTTCACATACCCTCACATGGCGTATACTTAATATGTCTCTCTACTCCTTTTGATTCCAAAAATCAGTTTTATAACAAATATAAATGTCTTGTTATTTATTAAAACAAATTAACAACTGCAAGTTCTATTCTATAAAACATTGAGTTTAAATATATTTTCTTCTCATTAAATTTGTAAACCCTTATCTATAAGTATAATATTTATTTATTTTTCTTTATTTATATTTATATTTTTTTTTATTTTTTTTAAACATTAAATATATTTTCCACATTTATTTTTAAGGGTATTTAAGACTTCGTTCATTTAAGTCCAACTCGTTTTATTTTTTATGTGTTTTCCTTTTTTACGTTTTCCCCTTTGCTTTTGCCTTTTCAGTTTTCTTTTGCACGATCTGTTTTGCCGGTCAATTGGCTGCAAGTGCAATATTTTGATTTGCAATTGTTTCGCAGGACAGCAACACCCTCTTTGCCCAGGACTTAAGTTCTGGTCCTTAAAGGGAGTTTTTTGTTACCGAATATTTGCTTTGAACCCAAGAGGCATGCCTTAATCGCCTGGACATTTGTATGCATTAAGGGCTGGTGAAAACCAAAAACTAATTTCCATCGAGCAAATAATATGCGACCTGACATAATTTTACACCACTTGCGGCAGCAGCTGCAATTTCTGTTGCAGTTACAATTGCAGTTGCTGGGGAAGTCCCGAAAGGGTTGCCAGATTGCCCGACTTTTGCCGGGGATTCCCCCAGCTTGGCCATGCACAATGCATACAAATTGCATTACAATCAGCCAGGGCAAACATGGAAATATATTTAAGGAGCGACCACACACCGAGTGAAAGAAATGCTTGAAATCGTTAAAAGAAAACGAACAAAGCATGGCAAATATTTATATACAAATATTTCTGCTCTAAGCCCAAACAGCAGAGCAGTGGAAAAGCAGAGAAGCCCGAGTTGCAGAAAGTGGAAATGCAAAACTTCCAAATGTAATTTGGAAAATTGCAAAAAACCAAGGCAAACAAAGTGGCCGGGTTGCAAAAAGGGAGTCGCATCACGTCCTTGACTCCCACAGAGAAATATTCGCATTAATTGGCAGCTCTCAGTCAAATGTATCTTTGTATCTTTGCCAGATGAAAGTTCAACGTCGGTACCCTGGACATGAAGTTTTGCGATTGAGGAACAGTTTCCTGCAAAATAATAAAAACATTTGATAGCAAGAATGGTTTCTACGCACCTTAAAACAGAACTAAGAAATTGATTTTAGGAAATTCACATCGCATTTTCCTTAGCTTTGTTCATTGTAAGAAATGTTTTTATTACTGTCCTATTACTTTTCTTACAGCTGTGTATGAACATTTTTCTTTTAATTTTCCTCTTCTTGGCTGACAAGAATGGAAATACTTTATTGTTTGCATTTATAATTTATACGATATATCTTCTGCTGATCCCTCGCCGTCCTTTGAGGCGCTTGTCATTTCATTTCATTACATCGCATTGTTGTCCCTTTTGGCTTTTGTGCTTTTCTCAAATATTTACATGTACCTTTTTTCTCTCCTCGATTCTTTATCTTCTCGCAGGACTCTTGGCAGGACTCCTTCGCGGGCCATTTTCCCCGCAGGAAAATCGCCTGCTGCGTCAGTTTCCCGACTGCCTGCTGGGCTGTAATGGCATTTATTAATTGCTATGTAAATAACTTGAAGTCAATTTTAATGGGAATTGTGCTGGCGCAATCCAAACGAGCCAATTTGCAGGCTCATTTCAATGCCGTCCGTCATTCAAGGATATCCATGAAAATAAGTCATTCACTTATGGACCGATTAGATCAAACATAAGTTCTCAGTCCTTTATTTGTATTCTCATTAAAATGGTTTGTTAACCTGTTTTCTTTGATTCATTGGCATTTATTTTCCATATTTCTAGAGGGGTATTTTATACATCTATTTATAAAGCTTTTGACAGCTCTAAATCAAAGTTACATAATTACTAAATCTTTTGTATCCTACATTATTTTTCAAATAACAAAATAGGAGCTTTATGTCACCTAGAAACATAAATCACGAATAAATCAAACACAAACACATGAAATCAGGGCCATCGCTTTTATAGCCATAAATAATAAACCAAGCACTCCTGTATTTGAACTATTAGTAGGTCAATAAACCTTCATACTCACTATTTGCTCCTTTATTTCGGATTTTGTGAATTTTCTTGATTTTCCACAATTTTTGTTGGCCCAAAATATCAAGTGGCAAGTAACTGGGTATCTGCATTAAACCAGAAAACTAAGCCAAAATAAACCGAATTTCGAAAACCAGAGGATGCCATATGGAGTATTTCAGTTATTTCAAGTGAAGGCAAGCATAATGCACGTAATGCCAACCAGAAGTACGCAAAAATGCTCGCATTTAAATGCTGGCCAACATTTGTCAAGCCTCCGGTCGTTCTGTCCCTTTCTGTGGCTGTATGGCCGTCTCCCTCTAGCGAACGCGTGTCGTCTCTTTCGTGCCGCCTCTCTCCCTCTTTGGGCTCGGTGAGCTACTGTTGCGACACTTTTGCGAGACGAGCTGCTTGTAAATCTCTTTTTAATTGCATTTAACCGCAAACAAATTCCAAAACCCGGCAACACGAAAGGAGCAAATTCCAACCACCCACTGCTTGGCAATCCCACTTGGCCAAAAACCAGGCTGAAACTAAAAACCGCACGTGGCAGACGAAACTAAAATGCAGGACACATTCACAATGGAAAGTTAGGGGGAGGGGGAGTGGGAGAGGGAGGGGAGGGGGTTCCACCGAACATGGCCACACAAATTGTTTAAACATATACCAACCCAAATACAATCCAAATCGAAAAGGCGCCCAGGCAGCCGAGGCAGCAGAAAAGCAGTCACAGTCACAGTCAATTATACAAATTGCATTTGTGTTGCTCTCTTGCAGGATCGCATTTGCATACCACCCACTTCCATCCCATCCCGTTTTACCCCCTTTACCCCTTTCCTGTCCTTTAACCACCCCCGCCCCTCAGTCCTCTCGGATTTGGCCACGAAAAAGTCAACCCAAGTTGCAGCTAGCCTTTATACTGAGCCCATTTTAAGCGGATTTCAAGGGGTCAAAATAGGGGTTTTAAATCGCCATTATGTGGGAAACTTAGTAAATTAATTTGCTAAAAACTGGATAAATATTAAGCCCTAAAAGTCTAAAAGTAATTTTCTATATTTCCCTAACTAAACGTTTAAAACTTTAAAATTAGTAATATTTTTTCTGCTCATCCCAATAGATTTATAAAAATACGTTTTTGGCGACTTTTAATAAGCGAAAAAAAAGAGCTGGAACAGAGCATTGCTGTCCTCGGCGAAACAAAAAATGTCCGAGATGCAAGTCCTTCCAGACTTACTCAGGTATAGGATTCACCTTAACGATTAACAGGGAACTCTTAACAAAAATAAAGATGAAAAACGATAAAAACGAAGTTGTTTTGTCAGTTATTTGCGGCCATTCTGGAACTGGGAGATCACATCCACCCTGAATCCGGAAATGAGCACCTCCGCAAGCGTCTCCTGTTCCTCGTCCACCTCCAGATGTTGGGCATTGCCGGTATCAATAATATCCTGGAGCTGCTCCTCCAAGACCAGGACTTCTGTAATGCGTTGAAATTCACGGCCCTTCGTTGCCACCGACGACATATTGACGATTCCATAAACAATCGACGAGACCACGGGTCCGATCATGAAAACCAATTCCGGGATCATTTTGAAATTTTGTAAAATTATTAAAGAAATATAAAGACTTATTCAGAAAAATACGGGACTGTTTTAAGATACGATCTCGACTGAGCGACTGTGTGAAGCGGACTGAACTGAGGTCTCAAATCAGCGTGAAGGTAAAAACCATTGCCTACTGTATAAAAGGGAATTCGGATTACAATTCTTCAACCCGATTGATCAGCTAGCCTGTACAATTTTATCAACTGTCATTCACAGTGAGCCATTCAAAAAGCAAACGACTATACCAGCAAAATTACTTACAATGGATTTTTCAATGGAAGAGCACTACAATCGCATTAAGTCGGAGTTGGAAAATGAAGAGCTGCTGACCTTCGAGGACATTCTCCATCTTACCAAAGCCTCGCCAAAGGTTTTGACCAAGACCATCAAAGTTTTGGCCAAGGAGCTGCACCGAATGAAGCCAGTCAAAATAGAGGACGCCTTCGAGAATTTTTGCTTAGAGGAAGATGAGGTGAGCTCAAAAGAAATATATGTACAAATTAAAAACACGTGAATGCAGAATACCTGACTACATTTCAGCACCCAGTATATTTTAGCCACCAATTTAGCAATCATTTCATCATTATGATCTGTATTTCTTTCGCAGATTTTGGAACAGGACGAAGCAGTGGAAATCATTGGCTTTGAGGAACTGGTCGTTCGCACTGGAGTCCATCCTTTGCTCCTTGAGCGTAGTCTGATTGATATGTCCCAAGGGATACAAAAGAAGTTAATCAAATCACAATCTTTCAGTCGTTCTCCACGTTCATAAGCATAAGACTTGGGCTAATTGCATTTGAATTTTATGTTGACCAAGCACGATATTGCCTTGCTATAAAAAAACCTTATAATAAATTTAGTAATTGTTCTTTACACATTTTGTGGTCTATGTTTTCTTTTACTTGAATCTAGCTTAGTGAAAGGTGCCATAAAATAGAGGTTTTCTTAAGGGTTACAGGACCTATCAGCAGTTAACCCCAAAGACACTGCTGCTTTGTGTTACACCCACTAAACTTCTTATACTTCCCTACAGTTTTATCTTTTATTATTTTCTTTTTGTCTTTTGTTGGCCTGCCCAGTTCATCTTTTAATTAATTCACAAGCAGCGTAAAAGTTTTGTAGCCACTTTGGGCCTAGACCACCAGCAGTTTTTCCTACCACCCCCTCCCTCGAAAAAAAAGAGGAGAATAGCGAGAAAAAAGTGGGCAGGAAGCACTTGCAACACAACGCAAGAAAACTTTTCTTATACAAAATTATGGAAAACTTTTATTTCCATGCATAACACACATACGCCCTGTTGGCCGTGTGTGCGTGTTTATTGCTTTACTTTTTGCACTCTTAAATAAAACTTGCATGTATGAGTGTGCGTGGGTGTCTGCGCACATTTATTTATTTAGTTTCGCTGCCGCTCGGCGCAAGTTTTTTATACGTACAATGCATATATTCGTATTTTTCTTGCCCCTTTTTTTTTGTTTTTGGGCGTAAAATTGGCACATCAAAAAGCGGAAAATTTAAGTTGCAACAACGGCAAATGTAAACAGCTCTACAAAAAACAAAAAACAGACTGAAACTGTCATATCAGCAATTACCCATGGGTTTCAGTTCCCCAGTTTTCGCCACAGTGATTTATAAATTTTTAACTTTTATTCTGCGGTTATAAACCCCAGGCCAACTTGACTTTATGGCTGGCAAAATAAAGCTTTGGCTATAAGAAATTTTCGGGTGACGAAGAAGATGGCCCAGTGATCATCTTCATGGCGAGTTTTCGGAACGTGCCAATGAGCTGTTCGGGCCATTTGGCTTTTTATGCGACTGCTAATGACACAATTTCGGTGGCGCAAAGTGGGTTGGTAGATAGGGACATGTGACACGCACGCAAAACAATTAACTGTTAACACTCACTCGCAAAAACACACACACACACACCCACACACACACGGTCCGAAAATAACAAAAAAGTGGCCAACGAACTTTTTACGTTTACGCTAATCCGCGTTGACCGTTTCACTTCACTTCATTTCGCTTGTTGCGTTTCATTGCCCAGTCTTACACGGCAAGAAAAAAGGTTCTAATCTGTACACTAATTAAATGTCTATATTAGAAGTATAACAATTTAAATTTACATTTAATAAGAAGTCCATACACTTAAAACGATCTTGTTAATAGGTTTGAAAATAGCAGTCGTCAAGACAAATGTTTATTGAAAAACATACTTATACATTTTTTACTACAATTAACTGCTTAACATATTGTTAAAATAAAATCATATTATTAAACGTAACTGACCTTAGGTATTTTAATGATTTTCCTATTCTTAATAATCTTTTCTTTATAATTAATTTTTTCTTTACATTGCCTTTGATATTTCTTAGTGCATACATTTGCAATTACGCTGGCCGTGCAGTTGAATGTTCCAAATTGCCCCCGCTGACCGATTGACCAAACCCCCCTCCCCGTTGCAACCACCCACTCCCTCTCTTTTGCACACTGTCTACCCTTCTCTTTCGTTCTCCCTTCATCTTGTTCAGTCAGCGTCTAAGTATGTTGCTTCCGTTTCCGTCGCCGTTGCCATTTATATGAAGAAGTGTGGGTGTGCAGAAAGGACTTTCTAAAAGGGGGCGGTGGGCATGGCCCGGCATTGTTGTCGCAAAGTGCTGACACACACACACACACACATGCATCATTGGCCATTACCGCGTGAGCCTTAAAAGCACAAAAAGGGGGGGAATGGCAAAGAAAGTTGTCTAAAAGCCAAGCCACCAGCGACAAGGACAATGAAATGCCACTGCCAATAAATAGTGAAAAACAACAACAGCAACAACAACCACAAAAAAGGAGCATCGACATTTCCTTTGACTCCGCTTTGGCTTGCTTTATCGCAACAATTGGCAATTGGATTTGCTTTTGTTCGGGCCATGGGGCGTATGCGTAATGTATTTTGTATCTCCTGCCACAAACACACACATACAAAATCGCGACAATCGCAATTTAGTGAGGCTTTTATTGGCCGCCCCCCTAACATCCTTAACATCCTTAACACCCTACGCCAAAACCTTAACCCACATTGGCCCCACTGGGTGACCATTTCGCTGGTCTGTGTGTTGGCATAATGGAAATTACTTGATTATCGTTTACACGTCGCCAATCGCTCAGCGAATCTCCAATGAATGAGAGCAGCTAATAGACCGCTCTCACATCGCCCACACACACACACACACACACACACGAAGGACAATGGGAAATCCAGAGGCAGGACATTCGTGAATCCTGCTGAGGTGCTTTATGGCAGGAAGTGAGTAAGGTGGTTATCCCGATAATAAGGAATCTACTTTATTTGCATTTCTCATTGGTATAGTTGCAATGCCCCTTTGATTACCACTTTAACTTAATTGAATACTGATTTTATTTGATTTGTTAAAAGGTTTACAATTAAAAAAATATTAATTTAATAAATTATTTTAAATTCCAATAAAGGGTGTAATTTATTTTAACTTTTCCAAATTTTTCAAATGTTTAAATTGTTATTTCTGGAGTATTCAAAATTAATTACCTAATTGTTCAAATTGCAACTTAGTTCTGTTAACTATTTTATTTTTTTTTTTATTTACAAATTCCTTCTTCGTATCAATATACCCCATGCAGATTTTAGCGAATTACTTACGCATTCGATTTGGTATTTATGCGCCATTTACAGATTCCCCTGCTTCATTGTAACTTTATTTTTCTCTGAGGAAAAAAAACCAAGACCGGATACAGTGGGTTCATTAACTACTCGCTCGTTAATTTCTTAAGCGATTTCGGACACTTTTCCAGGCTGTAATTAAATTTGTTGCTCGACCCAGAAACCGAGACCGAAACATTGCCATTTTCCTCCTAAGGAGACTTGCTTGCCCGTGGAGCCCAGTTTTTGGCCAGCTGATTTGGAAAATTCATGGAGGAAATTGGGGGAAATGGGTAAACGAGGCAACTGGGACTTGGTCAAGCTGCCACAGTGCATTCGGCTCGCTTTTCAGCTTTTCCAAAGGGAAAGCGACAGGTCGAAAGTAGGTGAAAATGTCAATGGTAGCCAGTTGGATCGCTGGTTCGTTGGCTCATTGGGTTCGGTTCGGTGCTTTATTAGTCTGCCTCTTATTTTCGGGACTGTGGTGAGTTTGCGCAGCGCTTTCCCAAGGTGAGTTTTCCACACGTCATTTAAGAGAGCAATCTAAGAGAGTAAAAAGCGGAAAATCGTCAAGCAACGTTTACTGCAGCTGGGATTCTGTGGTTTGCAAGGGGATATACGTAGGCCTGGAATTTGAGTAAGACTTTTTTTACCTTGTGAAATTTATATATTTATTTAACTTAACCATTTACTTAACCATTTCTTTCCGCAGCTGTGAACAATATTTTGTTTATCTTCTTTCGACTTCATATTTCACGAATCCTTGTAATTTGTTGTACTAATTTATGCAAATAATATATATTTGTTAGACTACTTCTATATCTAAAAATTGTACATATTTAGCAACCACTGTTTCAAATATTATATATTTCTATTTTTTAAATCAGTTTTGGTTTTTATTTTAGTTAACAAGCCCGCAAAGTTTCTGGCAAATTTTGAAATACTCTAGAATTCCGCCCAAAATCTCAATTCATCGGTATTTTTTGGTCGCTCTTTCTGGTTTTTTGGCAGCCTCAGGCTGAGTCTCGTTAGTCCGGTTTCCGAATGACTGGAACACATGGGCAGACGGGGGTTTTTGAAGGGGTTTTTGGGGGGCGAGGCGGGGCGGGGCGGGGCGGCTCACACGCACTTGGGCGCGCCTAGAAGTATGCTCTGACAACTTTGAAGTGCTCTTGCTCTTGCGGCCGTCGTCGCAGTAGTCGCGATGTCGCGTCGCTTTGACTTGTCAAACAAAAATAATGCCATTTGCCAGTTGCCAGAGTACTCAGCTACTAAGCCCCGCACCTTTTTCCCCATTTCCCCGCAGCAACAGCTGCTGCTGCTGCTGGTGCAACAGCAACATAAGCAACACCAGCAACATCTACAAAATGGCAACACGAATCCGTTTTAATGAAGACCCAGCCCTCCATCCGTTGGCAAAAGTTGGCAAAGTTGGCAGACAGTTTAAGTGGAAGGCCAACACTTAATATCGGTTAAAGCTAAATTACTGCCTTAATTGCAAATCAAATTTGAAAAAGACATCAAGCAATAGAGCTCGCTGGGCAAAACGTCGGTATGCTTGACCAAATATTGCGATATAAAATTTAATAATATATTGGGTATTAACATATTACCTACGAATTACAAATATTAAATAAGTAAAAGTTAGCAAAATAACAACTGATAACTTATCGATCAATCAATTCATTTGTTTAAATAAAAGAGTTTGAAATGAAATAGTTCAATTTTACAAAAATTGAGCAAAACCAAGGAATTAAAAAAGATTATTTTACATTTGCAGTTCTTTTCGATTTTCCTTTCTAAGGTTGAACCACAATTTCGCCAAAGGAAAATGCTCTTCTTAATGATGCTCAATTTTAATCCACTGGCTTCCGTCATCGCTGCGCTTGGAAACTCTTTAATGTAATTGAAATGTCATGAATGAAATGACAAGAACACTGAAAGGACAGAAAGTTGCTGCTGTGTAGTCCATGTTGTCGTTGTACATGTTGCATGTTGCCGAAAGCACGCGGCAAAACTGAAAAGGCGTTGGCATTTTCTACGTGCGGGAAAATGGGAAAAACTGTATACGGCGGCGCTAAGTAGCCCAACCCCCTTTTTATTCGTAGCCAAAAATGTCCTGTCAATGGCAGCCGCAGGCAAAAGCAACAAATGAGGTGGAAAATTCGCGAGATAAGGGGGG